ACCCTTCCTCAGAACGTTCTGAGGAAGGGTCACCGGACCCGAAACGTTAACTCTGTTTTCTCCTCCACAGATGCTGCCAGACCTGCTGAGCTTTTCCAGCAACTTTGTTTTTGTTCCTGATTTACAGCATCCGCAGTTCTTTTGGTTTTTATTATAAAGTGGTAGCTCAGTGCTTTCTACATTAGGGTGAAATTCCTTTGCGAGTAAAGACCAGCTTTGCCATAATTGAAGTTTCCCAAAATTCAATATTTTGACTCACTACAGCTCCCATACAAGGGTTCATTTAAGTGAATAACTTCTGTAGTCAAATTGACATTAATTTGGGCATTGGTTTTCAACCAACATAAAAACAGTATTGATGATTACATTGGAAAAAGAAGGAATACATCAGGTAAATCATCAGATAGCAAAGTTCACTTGACAGAGATCACCAGACCTATCTATACCCGCTGTTATGCCAGCCTGACGATGACTGTGGAAATGTGTTCCTCAAAATATACATTTTCACAGAGAGTTGCAGATCTGTTAAGACCCCAGGAAACAACTGGAAGCATAGGAATGGCGCATTCTTAGTGAAATCTCATCCCATTTAAAAATAATCGTATCAGGATCATTTCTGGATCTGAAAGTGCTGCATGTCCTTTCCTGGAGGTGGCCAATTTACAGGTTATTTCCTGATCTGCTGCCCAATCAGAGGGCCTGATACTGGAAGGACAGCAGCCCAATTGCAGAGCTGAGTACTTGTGTTGCAGGATGTGGGACTGCGAGGTTATCTCCATCTCACTTTCTGAAGAAGTTTAAATTTTTAAAAAAGTAACTCTACTTTCAGTTGCTGGCTAAACCCCTGCACTAGATGAGCATAAGAACACAAACATTAGGAGCGAGACTTCAGCTCCTCAAGCCAACTCCACTATTCAATTACAACACGGATGTTGTGATTGTGACCTTATGCCCAGTTGTCAGTTCCTTTAATCCCCATGCCCTTAACACCCCTGCTGATCAAAAATCCATCCAATTTAGTCTTGAATGTGTTCAGTGATTTTCTGTGCAGTGCTCTCTGGCAAAGAAAATTGTACAGGCCAGGGACCCTCTATTTCTCCTTTCCTCAGTCTGAAATGGGAGACGTCTCATTTTCTGTGTTCTGTAGTTCTGGACTCCCTAACAGAGGGAAGGCCCCTCCACCATTCACCTCCTAATTCTTCTCAGGACCTTATATGTTTCAACAAAGCTACCTCTCAGTCCTCTAAATGTTAATGAGTCTCAGGTCAAATTCGCTCAACCTTTCCTCATAAGACAACTCCATTATCCCAGGTATCAGCTGAGTGATTGCCTGCAGCTGCTGATCAGTGCTGCTGTGGTGCGGAGAGGAAGAACAGGAAGTCTCACAAAACCCAGCTGCAGCCAACCACCTCAGGATACCTGCTGTGCTTGGCAATTAATGTGTTTTCTGTCTGTCACTTCTGGAGGTACCCCCAGACTGTTTAGAAATCAGCAGTCATTTATTCAAATTTGCTTCATGCTGCTGTTGAGCTGGTAGCCAATTCAAGTGATGACCACTTCTGGAAAGATCATCAAGAGATAGGAGTGCATGGCACCTCTGATCTAAAGATGCCAGGATGTCTGCATTCCCTCCTGATCCCACCTCCAAGCCAAGCCTGCAGGTCTAAGAAGATTCCGTTCTGTGTGTTAGTCAAAATCATCTACTTGCCCTCCTTCTGTCCTCCACAATCCTTTGACATCCAAGTACTGATTTGGCTACATCCTATTGCAAGCTGGAAAGAATCATTTGGTGGTTTCGGTGATGGGTGCCTGTATCAGCAGTCATCACAATTTCTACAGAATAATAATAGCCTTATGTTACTGCACAGCTGCCAAACTGGAGGGTGATTGGTGACAATAATATTAAAATTTCATCATCCGTTCTGCATGTTAAAAAGTGATCAGCTATCAAGCAGATTCTTTGTCGTACATTGATTTCACATTCTTTGAAGATGTGTGGACCAAGTTTAAAGTCTCTTGCCAGTGTGTTTGGCTCTTAACAACTCTAAAATGATTGAGGAAGTCACTTGTTCAATTCTTTTAACCACGGAAGGGCAATAAATGCCAGATTTACCAGTGCTTTCCACATTCCAAAAATGTTTTTCTTTAGGTGACTTATCATGATGTTACAAAGCAATTCAATTTTGTGCTAAGATGTATGTATTTGTACAATTGAATGTGGTTTTGGCTTATGTGCCATGATTTTTTAGTCTATTAACAGTGTAGAAAATTTACCAATATTTTCCATCTTGTCCTATTTATTTTATCTCTTTACAGGTTAAGAAGTGGCCTGTTGGAAAGCATGGCTTATTATATGATCGTACCTGGATGATTGTCAACCAAAATGCTGTCTGTCTTAGCCAAAAGCAGGAGCCCAGACTATGTTTGATTCATCCACACGTTGACCTAGAGGAAGGGATCATGACCATCAGTGCAGAAGGTTAGCCAAACCAATAGCCCTTAGAGGCATAAACTCAAAAATAGTCATAAAAATAAGAAACATTTATTAGAAAAGACAACTTAAGCCCATCGAATTACTCCAGTTTTTAGGCTGGAATTTCCAACCCTCCATCAAATATATGACAGTCCAAGGTCTCTGTGCAAGCTTTCTTCTGTCTGTAACCTATTAAAAGTAAAATATGAACCTTAAATTACAGAAACACTTCTGGTGAGGTACACCTGTACACCAGGAATTTTTTTAATTTTGCAATGTGGTTTTGTCATTTCCCTTTTTAAAAAAGCAGAATACATATAATATAGTTGTCAGTGGAGACAAGGTTTCTAAGGTTAACATTCTGTGATATGAACTCAGACCTTTGAACAAGTTGGGTGGACCAGTTAATTACTGTCAAGTTATAAAATTTGTAAGATTGTTATGTTTTGGGACTGTCTTTTCAATTTAGGATAAAATGGATGAATTAAGGATGTTATGCCTCCGTATTGAATATCAGGTTTTATAAATGACTATACTTTAAATTGTCTTAGTTAATTCCAATATAGAATGGACTTGGGGGTCAGGAGGCTAGTTAATTAACATTTCTAGCTGGATGCAAAGCCCATGTAATTCATGCTGCCATGGAGTTGGAGATTGGGAGGGGAAGAGTTCACAGGAAGCCATTGTAAATTTGGATTGCAGGTTTTCTAAAATTATCATTGAAAGCCACATAGACAATGTCAGACTGCAAGAATACAAGTGAGCAATATGGCAGAGAGATAGAAGCATTGACATTTAATTGTTCACTATCCAGAATGCAGCGGGAGCTCTCTCTCAGGTTGAGGCAATGGTTTAGTGGGATTATCACTGGACTGTTAATCCAGAGCCCCAGGTAATGTTCTGGGGACCTGGGTTTGAATCCCGCCATGGCAGCTGGTGGAATTTTAATTCAATAACTATTTGGAATTAAGGGTCTGATGGTGACCATGAATCCATTGTCGACTGTTGGAAAAACCCATCTGGTTCACTAACGTCATTTAGAGAAGGAAATTGCCATTCTTACCTCATCTGGCCTGCTTATGACTCCAGACCCACAGGAATGTGTTTGACTTTTAATTGCCCTCTAGGCAATTAGGGATGGGCAATAAATGCTGGCCTAGCCAGCAACGCCCTCATGCCATGAATTAATTAAAAAAAGAAACCATTGAAATGAAGATGGACAATTCAACTAGCTTTGGCTCAAGGGAGGGATCCATGATTTGTCCTTCACCCTGAATGTCATTTAGTGGAGAATATGTTGTTTGGCTGGAAAAGAGAAGAGAAATTATCAGTAGCTAAGGAAAGATTCCTGGAGAATGAAGTGTTGACTTTCATATAACTGTGGTGGGGGATTTTCAGTTTTTGTGAAGGCAGCGCTACTCCCCTTTACACCCTCCCCTGTCATGCCTGAATATCCTTTACCCCCGAATGCTGAGTTGTCCCTACCTCAAATATGTCTCTGCGAAAGCAACGATATCACAATTCCATGTGACAATCCATGCCCTTAGCTCATCTGTCTTACCCATAATACTTCTAGCATTTAAGTAGAGGCCATGCAGCCTCATCTAGCTCCCTTGAGAATCAATATGTCTGAACTTACTGTGCTGAGGTTCCTTTCCTAAGGTATGCCGTGACTATATTGAATTAACGCATTGTATCCCCTGCCCTGTGCATTATTGGAACAAGCCCAGATCTGGGCAGCTGTATTGTGACAGGATGAATTCTGGCTTTAGTTGTCTGCCTTTGGCTACACACTCATCTTCCCATGCAGGTGCCAGGCCCTAAAGGACTACATAAGTTAAGATGATGGAGTGTTTTAGGATGCCATAAGAAGCAGGAGTTGCAGCAGCTGAAAGATCTGGAGCATCTGGAGTTTCAGGCATAGTGAGGAGGAAACAGCTGTCCAAAACTTTTCATCAAAATCTTAATTTTCAGACCTACTGTGATTGAGAGGGAGTGAGAGAGAGTGTGACAAAGTGTGTGAGAATTCAAGTGACAGTGAGTGAGTGAGTGAATGTGTGAGAGAAAGCAAATAGATGTAAGACTGTGTTAGAGGGATTGAGTGTGAGAGACACTGAGAGTGTGTGAGAATGTCTGTGAGCATGTGTGAGTACACACATACACACTGATGCGCCCACGCAATTGCCCACTAAGACCAACTTGGAGAGTGAGCCATCAGAGGTAAAACACATGATAGGTGTTAGTTAAATTCTGTTTCTTAGCTCAGCTCTGGCCTGTCCCCATTTGCAGGCAATTAGGACTTGGAGCCGTGACTTTCTCTCCCTAGGTTTGTTTCTTAAGAGAAAAGGCAAAATTGTTCAATTAGTTATCTCTGCTACATGACAGTTTGATATTTCATTTTCATCAATATGTTTTTTATGTTTTCTTTGTGCCTTAACTTCTTTAAAAAGTTCATGTTGCTGGCACCCCCAGGGTCCCAGGATATTGTGTTTCTTGCTGAAGTGGAACAAGACACAGAAAAGCAGTCTAATTACTTCTTGAAGGGCTGGCAAAAGCAGTGATTTTTGCTCCCTTAGAAACAGGCAATGTTAGAAATTATCAGAAACAAGAACAGAAATTGCTGGAAAAACTCAGGAGGTCTGGCAGCATCTGTAGAGAGAAATCAGAGTTAATGTTTCAGGTCCAGTGACCCTTCCTCAGCACTAATGGTAACTAGGAAAAAATTGATTTTAATGGAGAAGATAGAGTGGGAGGAACAAGTAAGAAATGAACGATAGGTGGAGATAGAGCCCAAAGAGAGACAAGAATAGTTGAACAAGACAAAGGATGGATAACAATCAGGCTAAGAAAATGAATTGCTACTATTGGGGACTGTTAGTGGCTAACAATGGGTTGTGTGTAAAAGCAGCTTTTCTTTTCTTTATTCATTCATGGGATGAGGAGCATCACTGGCCAGGCAGCATTTATTGCCCATCCCTAATTGCCCAGAGGGCAGTTAAGAACCAACCACATTGCTGTGGGTCTGGAGTCACATGTAGGCCAGACCAGATAAGGATGGCAGATTTCCTTCCCTGAAGGACATTAGTGAGCCAGATGGGTTTTTCCTGACAATTGAAAATGGATTCATGGTCATCATTAGATTCTTAATTCCAGATATTTATTGAATTCAAATTCCACCATCTGCCATGGTGGGATTTGAACCCTGGCCAGGATGTTAGCTGGGTCTCTGGAGTAACAGTCCAGTGATAATACCACTAGGCCATTGTCTCCCTGTGATGTGGTAACAAGATCTCGTGTGTGGGCTTTGGGCCACTTCAACACACCACCTTGTTCTTTGGCCAGCGTGTCTGTCTCAGGCTTGCTGCAGTGCTCCAGTGGAGCTCAGAGCAAGCTAGAAGAACCACACCTCATTTTCTGCTTGGGAACTCCACAGCTTTCTGGACTCAATATCGAGTTGTACAACTTTAGAGTTTGAGCTTCTCCCATGTCCTTCTCCTGACCCCTGTTCCCAGGGTAGGAAAGTCCAGAACTAGAGGGCATAGGTTTAAGGTGAGAGGGGACCTGAGGAATAAATTTTTCACACAGAGGGTGGTGTGCGTATGGAATGAGCTGCTAGCGGAAGTGGTAGAGGCTAGTATGATTACAACATTTAAAAGGCACCTGGATGGGTAAATGAACAAGAAGGATTTAGAGGGATATGGGCCAATTGCTGGCAAATGGGACTAAATTAATTTAGGATATCTGGTCAGCGTGGACGAGTGGACCAAAGGGTTCAACCCTATGACTATGACTCTATAAGGAGAATTGGCGTCCTGCTTTATGGGAGGGTTGGACATGATGCTGTTGATGCGGGACTTCCTCCTCCAGCAAGTGGAGACCACAACATCAGACGATACCAACCTGGTTGGTGGTTGCTACCTGGGTTAATACAGTCTCAATCATTGGGAGGAATGTAAGAAGGAGGTCAATGACCTTTACCACACTGCTAAGTCAGTTGAAACAGATGATGCCTCACACTCACTCTACCTCTGCGACTATACCCACCTCCCATCAAGCCTCATGCGCTACCATTCTCACTTTTGCCTGCAATGCCTTTCCCACCCGCTATCACTCATCCCAACACCACTAACTTTACTTGCATTCTGCACTGCCTAAACATCCACGTGGGAAACTTTCCCGCCTGCTCCATTGTAATGGCTGTGCCACCTACTTTCAAGTCCAATAATACTTGCTTCTTTCTTATTTCAGCCCACAATGGGGTATGAGGTCAAGCTGGGTGGTGTGCAGCCCATCATGAAACTGCTTATCTCTTTTGCATTCTGACTTTGACCACCCTGGACAAGGCTTGGATTGGTACCAGGGACTGCCCTTGACTCACTGTTCCAGGAAATCTGAGCAAAGGCTATCCCTTTGACTTGACTAAGGACTGTAGCAGTATGAGCCTGGTATCTCTGGCTGAGGGGGCAAAGTGCAAAATAAGCAAGGAAAGACAATACAAGGCAGGATGCTGTGAACATCCAGATAGGCCCAGAGTGAGTGAGTGCTGTCAGACTATCCAGCGATGCAACTTGAGCCTGTCCATGAGCTCAGCACGTGTCCCTGAGTGCACAGTGTCCTTGCAGCAGTATTACATTGATAGTTGCTGAACCAGCCAGAGATACAGCATTGAAACACAGATGCATCTTACAAGTGGATTGGAACTATACCTCAAGGGTTCTCAAAGGCTGCCAGTGCAGGATGTCAGATGCCAATGGCTGTGGACATAGGATGCTTGAGATCAGTGCCCCTGGAGTATATCCTGAGATATTGATGTATCCCATCTATCACTTTTTTGCCCACTTTCCTTGCCTGTTCAAGTCCTTCTGCAGCCTCCCCACCTCCTGAACACTAGCTGTCCCTCCACCTATCTGTCTCACCTGCAAACTTATCAACAACGACCTCAGTTCCTTCATCCAGATTGTTAATGGATAACCTGAATAGGTGTGGTTCCAACACTGACCCCTGCAGAACTCCACTAATAATTTTTTAGGCTGCCATCCTAAAAAAGATTGCTTTATCCCTGATCTCTGCCTGCTACCAGTCAGCCAATCTTCTATCTATGCCAGTACCTTGCACCTAACACCATGAGCTCTTATCTTATTTAGCAGCTCCTGTGCAGAACAAAGTCTTCTGGAAATACAAATAGATCATGTCCACTGGCTCTCCTTTGTGTAACTTGCTTATTACCTCTTCAAAGAATTCTAACAGATTTGTCAGGCATGACCTCTCCTTGATCAAGCCGTGCTGACTCAGCCCTGTTTTACCATTCATTTCCAAATACTCTGCAATCTCATCCTTAATAATAGATTTAAAATCTTAACAATGACCAAAGCTAATCAGCTTATAACTTCCATCTTCAGCCTCTCTCCCTTCTTAAACATGGGTGTTACATTAAAGGTAAAGTTAGATGAAGTTTTACTGACATTGGTGTGAATAAAAATACTTCACCAATATCTGGATATTTGTCCTTTTTTTGCTGCAGTAGTCTGTATTTGCACACCTTTGAAAATCTGAATGTTTAGGACAAAACATGTTATGGTGAGTCTCAGGAGGGATATATTGATATTCTAGGGCATGTCAGTATGAAAAAGGAGATGGTGTTGGGTGTTTTGAAAAGCATTAAGGTGTCCAAGTCCCTAAGACCTGATGGGATCTATCCCAAAGTACTGAGGGAGGCAGGTGAGGAAATTGCTGGGGCCTTGTACAAAATCTTTGCTTCCTTTTTAGTCACAGGAAAGGTCCCAGAGGACTGGAGAATAGCCAACATTGTTCCATTGTTTAAAAAGGGCAACAGGGATAATCCAGGAAATTACAGGCCAGTGAGCCTTACTTCAGTAGTAAGGAAATTATTGGAGAAGATTCCTAGGGATAGGATTTACTCACATTTGGAAAAATATGGACTTATTAGCAATAGGAAGCATGGCTAAGTGCAGGGAAAGTGGTGTCTTATAAACTTGATTGAGTATTTTGAGGAAGTGACAAAGATGAATGATAAATTGTCCAGATAGACTTCAGCAACGATTTTGACAAAGTTCCTTGTAGCAGCCTGACACAAAAGGTGAAGTCACATGGGATCCACAGTGAGCTAGTGGATACAGAACTGGCTTAGTCATAGAAGATAGGGAGTAGAAGTGGAAGGGTGGTTTTCAGTCTGGAGTTCTGTGACCAGTGGTGTTCCACAGGGATCAGTGCTAGGACCCCTGTTGTTTGCAATACATATAAATGATTTGGAGGCAAATGTAGGTGGTCTGATTATTAAGTTTGCAGACAACACAAAGGTTGGAGGAGATAGTGGAGATAGTGAGGGGGATTGTCAGGGGATACAGCAGGATGTAGATAGTCTGGAGAGTTGGGCAGACAAACGCTGCCTAGCCAATGATGCCGTCATCCCGTTGAATGAATAAAGAAAAACAAAATGGCAGATGGAGTTCAATCCAGACAAATGAGAGGTGATGCATTCAGAAGATCTAGTGCAGGAGGGGAGTATACAGTAAATGGCAGAACCCTTAGTAGCATCAACATACAGAAGGATCTAGGTTTACAGGTTCGCAATTCCCTGAAAGTGGCAATACAAGTGGAGAAGGTGGTCGAGAGGGTGAATGGCATGCTTGCCTTCATCAGTTGGGACATAGAGCGTAAAAATCGGCGAGTCATGTTACAGCCATATAGAGTTTTAGTTAGGCCACATTTGGAATATTAGGTTCAGTTCTGGTTGCCACACTACCAGACGGACGTGGAGGCTTTGGAGAGGGTACAGAAATAGTTTACTAAGATATTCCCTGGTTTGGAGAGTATTAGAAATGGGGAGAGTTTGGACAAACTTGGTTTGTTTTCACTTGAACGTTGAAGGATGTGGAGTGACCTGATCAAAGTTTACAAAATTACGCAAGGCATGGATAGAATGGATAGTTGGAACCTTTTTCGCAGGGTAGAAATGTCAGTTACTAAGGGGCATAAGTTGAAGGTAAAAGGGAGAAAGTTTAAAGGAGACGTGAGAGGCAAATTTTATTACACAAAGAGTAATAAGTGCCTGAATACGTTGTCAGAGGAGGTGCTGGAGGCAGATACAATGGCAGTGTTTAAGAGGCATCTTGACAGATATGAATAAGCAGGGAATAGTAGGATACAGACAGCATAGAGGCAAAAGATTTTTAGTTTAGAAAGGCATCATGTATCAGAGTAGGCTTGGTGGGCCAAAGGGCCTGTTCATGTGATGTGGTGTTCTTGTTCTTTATTCCCCAGACAGAGCTTTTTGTGCCTTCAGCAAGGCAACACACACGCAGTTGTTTGATTGGTACATAGTACCTAGGATCAGTTTCACTGCTGGTGCCTAAATTTTTTCAAGCTTGTTAACGTGCACTTTGGTAAGTCCAATGTTTAAAATAGGTGCTATGTATTCAACAGAGGGGTCTTATGTAACTGTTAAACTCAGTGAATAAGTCAGTTTAAGATACGCTGTGATGCTTTAGAATATGTTGAATGTGAAATATTCCATTTATTCTTAAGCATTTCACACATTTGATAATCCTATTTGAGAATACTTTGAACGTATATGCCTAATAGCCTAATGCATGTTTGTTGTGCAATCTCTGCTTCATAACTTAAATGACTTTTAAGCTTGAGAGAAGAGTTCTGAACAGTGTTTTCATCAGTTTTGAACAGATATTGGCACTTTATCCAATGGGCAAAATATTCTAATGCAGCACGACACTCAGCAAATGCTAATCAACGTAATGGTAAACTTTCCTTTGCAGGACGAAGCCTTATATTCAATCACCACAATCACACAACCAATTTACAGTATAGAATCTATCTATTAAAACTGAAAGAACAACTTTCTTTTATATTTCAATGGCAAGACATGGTTATTGTTTTCTATTCTTTTCCCATCTTGGAACTGGGAATCATCATGGTTCATTACTTCTCTGTGGTTTAATCCCTCCTCATGAGGTTTAGACTGCTTATTCCTGCAACGAAGTTGGTAAGGATTGGCGTGCTGTGTCTGCATGAAAATAATTTGTCAGAAACGTCTTGAGTACAGGAATCCTGGAATTAGTTCCTGTCTGCTTTTTTTTAAAGCACAGTGAAAATGCAGGCCTCTCTATTTCTTCTGTGTCTTTTGATTCGTTTTGTTTTCCATTATCTTATTATACCCGTTTTTGTCTCAGTGTGAATATTGCTTCTGCTATTTAACAAATTCTACATAAATTGATGTTTCAACATCTCCTGTTAAGGTTCCACATTTCCAGCTCGTTCTGTATTTTGCATTTTATCCATGAAAATAAAATTAGACTATCAAACATAATGTGGCATAATTAGTCTTACTATGTCAGGAAATAGCACTTTCTTACAAATTGAAGATTCACTTAGGTAGAAAATTATATAATCTGAGGTCATGGACTTTTTTTCTAATTGTGTATTCTAACATAACTAAATAAAATTATATTCTACAGCTACTGCACATGTTGCACAATAGAAAATGAGTTTCTACTGAAAGCTGCAAAAGGGCAATGAGAACTCCCAGGGTTAGCAACTGGTAATCAGTGAACTTCAATCATAAGTAGAGTCTTTGTTTTTCTGTACAACTGGACAACTACTCCCCAGGGCATATGACATTATACCAGTAGCTTGTCTTCTAGACTGAAACAGGATGATAGGAAAGACATCACTTTTTAATTGCATGAAAACTGATACTGATTATTATATTCCTATTAGATTTGAAATTAGAAGAAGGTTGTTCTTAGACAGAGTTCCAGCTGTACTTATTGGAGCATATGCATTTTAAAAACATTGTCAATAGGCATGGAATGAATTATATCCAGCATTGTTTAAAAACATATTGTCACCCACCAGCAAAAATCGAATTTGTGAACTATTGTGATATTTCTGATGGCATAAAGCAAAGTAAATCATGAAAATTTAGAAAATAAGACCACAAGTAGGCCATTTGGACCTTTGAGCCTGTTCCACCATTCAAATTCAATCAGCCATAATTATGGCTGATCATCCAACTTAGCACCTTGTTCCCCTTTCTTCCCCATATACTTTGATACTAAGCGTTACATCTAACTTCTTCTTGAAAACATTCAGTACTTTGGCCTAAACTGCAATTTGTGACAGAGAATTCCACAGGCTCACCTCTCTCTGAATGAAGAAATTTCCTACCTACTTCATTCTACTAAACTCCAGTGAATAAAGTCCTAACTTATCCAGTTTATCTTCATACGTCAGTCCTGTCATCCCAGGATCAGTCTGGCAAACCTTCATTGTACTCTCTCCATAGTCAGGACATCCTATTCAGATAAGGAGGACATAAATCTGCTGTATTCCACCCAAGGGAAGATGGCATGCAGAATGATGTTGTGAAGTGCATACAGAAAATAGAATCTGGAACATAGCTGATAGGACAGCACTTTCAACCTTTTGTATTGTTTCACTGACATCAGGAATTTCCAGGTTTGCTTTGGTCTTGGAAAAGACATTTAAAGGTAAATTTTCTGTGTCTTTGAATATCACAATATACATCATGAACCTTCACTATACTTGGGAACATTGAGGGTAGGTCTGTAACTCCTCAATGTACATTTGTGACATACAAAGTAACTTCACTTGAATAATTTACCCTTTAATGTTTCTTGAAGACAAGATAAGCCCCTCTTTACAACCCTGTCAGCCTCCAAATGAAGAATTCTCAAAGTTCAGCAAATGCATTACACCTTCATTTTGAATCAAAAGGTAGATCATATTTGATGGGGAAAGAATCTAGTCAAGATATCATCTAGAGGCAGTGCCAGAAGTGCATTCAGAGTGACTGCAGGTGCATTCTGTCTTGCTAAAACATTAATGGTTAATTTACTTCAATCCCTCAGGAATGGATCCCATAGAGGTGCCTCTAGAAGGAGAGGATAGAAAAGAATTTTCACCTCAATTCTGTCAAACCAGAGTCTGTGGAGACAGGTGAGTATTAAGACAAGCTTACAAAAGGGTATTGCTTGCTCCATTTTCATCATTCCTTTTCACAACCAGGCCTGACTATTTCAATGGATAAACAAAGTTGGACTACCATTGAATTGACTGAACTGTAGGCAAAGAATGGAAATTTGATATAGCACAGAAAAGCTCCTTTAATGAAAATGAAGAATGTTTCTTTTATGCTTTGTGCTAGGATTTATTTTGTATTTATATAATTGGTTCAGACTTACTAGAGGTAGTTCGTTGATAACATCAAATTTGGAAACAGTGGCAGCTATAAAGAGGATATGGAGTATTTAATGGAGTGGACAAATGGGTGACAATGACGAGAGAAGTGGAGTTGTACATTTTGGGACAAGAAGCAGTGAAACGGTGCCCTGAATGCTACAGAGATATCAAAGAGACCTAAGTGTAGAGACAAATAGATCTTAATAAATGAAAATGTAAGTAGAAAGTGTCAGGTATACGGGACTCTGGATTTTAAATGTAGGGACATTGAATACAAAAACAAAGACATGATTTGTATAGTTTTCCATCCAGCCAAAGTTTTATTTTGTATGCATTTCTGAACCAGTATACATCCTTGAAAAGGGAGTAGCAAAGTTTCACTGGAATTATATATCACATGATGAAGGAAGGCCCAAAACATTGGGGCATTTTAAATTGTATCAGGGAAGGTAAGGCTGAATCTGATGCAAGTTTTCAAAACTATGAAAGTATTTTAGAGAAACCTGAACCATAAAACAAAGTAATGAGTATCAACTTTGTTTCAAAAAACAGCAGTAGTATGGAGGCCTCTAGCCCCCAACTGGAATCAGTTAAAGAAACTAATCTCCGATGTGAGAGGGACCAAATTCAAGGGCCACTACCAACATAAGACCTAGGAACAGGAATAACGTATTTGGCTCCTTGAGCCAGCTTCACCATTCAATAGGAAAATCGGCTGACCTTTTACTCCTCACGTCCACTTTTCTGTTCTTCCCCCAGAATCCTAGATTCCCCTACTGATCAAGAATCTGTCTATCCCCGCTTTAAATATACACAAGGACTCTGCCCCAGGGACTCTGTGGCAAGGAGTTCCAAAGACTGACAACCATCTGAGAGAAGAAATTCCTCTTTATCTGTTCAAGCCCCTTAAGAATCCAATATGTTTCAATGGCATCACCTCTCATTCTTCTAAATTCCAACAAATAGAGTACCAACCTATTTCACTTTTGTTCAGAAGACAATCCCTCCATACTGAGGATCATCCTAGTGAACCTTATCTGAACTGCCTCCAATGGATAATTTTTTTTCTTAAATAAGGGACTAAAACTGCTCACAGTATTCCAGATATGGTCCCACTAGGACCTTGTACTGTTACAGTAAGACTCAATACACTTATACTCCAACCCCTTTGAAATCAGGAGCAATAATCCATTAGCGGCCCTAATTACCTGCTGCACCTGTGTGCTAGCTTTGTGTGTTTCATGCAGAAGTAGCCCCAAATCCTTTCATGTTGCAGCTTTCTGCAATTTTTCTCCAATTAAATAACACTGTCTTCTTTTATTCTCCCTTTCAAAAAAAGGCAACTTAATCTGGGTTGCTCTTTTATCCTTAACAAAGGATAATGAGGTGGAAGGTACAGATAGGGCTCTAATTCCTCATTTGGCTGGTTATTGATAGAGCTTAGCCTGAGTACAAGAAGTCAATGTCCACTCAGAGGATCCCCAGGAAATCCTGAATATATAAAGAGTAGTAACCTGATGTCATCACAGATATCCAGATTTTTTTCCTCTGCTATGCACCTGGATATTGAACATTTTTTATAGGTGTACAGGAAAACAAAGTTGCTTCAATTTTTGTTATAACTATAACTTAAATTTATATAGCCCTTAAGTTGATATCTCAAGGTGCTGAATAACTATAGGTAGGTCAGTCATTCAGGAAATTTGGAATGGAACTCTCATAGAAATATAAGACCATGAGATGTGGGAGCAGGCCATTTGGCCCTTTGAGTTCTATTTTGCCATACAATGAAATCATGGCTGATCTGATATCTATAACTCTTGATTACTTATTGAATAAAAATCTGTCTCTCTCAACCTTGAACATACTTAAGAACCCACCCTCTCCATCCCTGTGTGGTAAAGAATCTCTCAGATTCACAACCCTCTGAGAGAAGAAATTCCTCCCCATTTCTCTCTTAAATGAGTGGCCTCTTACTTTGCGATTATGGTGTCTGGTCCTAGCCTCACCCACAAGAAGAAACAATCTCTTAGCATTGACTGTGTCAAGTGCCCTAAGAATCTTAAACAAAAACAGAAATTGCTAGAGTTCTACAGCATCTGTGCAGAGAGAACAGAATCAGTGTTTCAGATCCAGGAGCCCTTAATCAGAAGAAATTAATGGTTCTGGTGAAGGGCCACTGGACCCAAAACATTGACTCAGCTTTCTCCCCACAGATGCTGATGAGCCTGCTGAGTTTCTCCAGCAATTTCTGCTTTGTTTCAGATCTCCAGATCAGCAATTCTTCGTTTTATTATCCCTACAAATCTGTTTCAATGAAGTTGCCTCTCATTCTTCTAAACTCCAATGAGTTCAGAACCAACCTACTTAACCTCTCCTTATAAGAAAATTCTTTCATGCCCAAGATCATCTTATAAACTTCCTCTGGACTGCTTCTGAAACATTGTTTTCGTATAGGTAATCAGCATACTTTTAATGACACAAAGATTGACTGGTTTGATCCCATTATTTAGAACACAATTAAATATTTTTAGTGAGATAACAAGGTGTAGACCTGGATGAACACAGCAGGCCAAGCAGCATCAGAGGAGCAGGAAAGCTGACGTTTCGGGTCTGGACCCTTCTTGTTATCTCAGATTCTCCAGCATCGGTAGTTCCCACTATCTCAAAATATTTTTAGTGACCTGTGACACAGGTCTGTAGCCAAGGATATTGAAGCAATCAGGCCATGCATTCCAAGGTATTTCTGATCATATTTCCTATAGCAGGGAGACCAGAATTGCACACAGTTTTCCAAAAGTTTCCTAACCAATGTCCTGTAGAGCCACAACATGACCTCCCAACTCCTATATTCAATGCACTAACCAATAAAGGCAAGCATACCAAACGCCTTCTTCACTATCCTATCTACCTGCAACTCTACTTTCAAGAAAGTACGAACCTGCACCAAAGGTCTCTTTGTTTGGCAAAACTCCCCAGTACTTTACCATTAAGTGTATAAATCCCGCCCTGATTTACCTTTCCAAAATCCAACACTTCACATTTATCTAAATTAAACTCCATTTACATTCCTCGGCCATTGGCCCATCTGATCAATGCCCTCTTGTTCTAGATTGTTCCATTAGAGGAAAAGTCTACTTTATCCATATACTCAGTCAAAACCTTTTACTGTAATAAACTTCTCAATTAATTCACCCCACAACTCTCTAAATGCAAGGGAGTACATGCAAAGAAGATGCAAATTGTCCTTATAATTTGACACTTGTTCGGTGTAACTGAAGCATTACTTACTATATTACAATACTACTTACATTTTTTAAATGTACTTAATTCATTTTGGCCATCCCGAGGCTGTGAAAAGCACTGCAGATGTAAGTCTTTGTTTCTGTCATTCAACCCTCTTGAAATAAAGACATTACCCTTTGCATTAACCTTTTGTGGTTACTTTATGGATTTATGCACTATCGTTACTGATGTGTGTATGTACCCACCAAGAATCTTTTGCTCACCTACGGTTCTTCCCCACTAAGCATTCAGCAAATATTCTGGCATAGTAGGAACTGCAGATGCTGGAGA